GAGACGGCTTCACAGGCATGTGGTAATATCATCATTAAACTGCGGTTTTACCGTTCGGGGACCTGCGCTCTGGTTAGACTTCCCTTAAAACCCTCCCATCTCAAATACTTTGGCTTCCCCCAAATTTCCAAAGATGCTTTACAAGGAAGAGAAAGGGGGGAGGGGGAATTCCAGCTAGATTTCTCAAGCAATATACATGCTGGAACCACATTTAAGGGAGGGGGCGATGACTGATTATCTACTATATTTACCTCTAGAAAACTAAAAATACAAGTAGGAAGTGTTAAAATTAGTACTTTTTTGGCATGTGATTTTTAAGTGATTCGGTGTCATTTTTAATAAGAAATGTAACCAATCAACTAAACAACATACATGCATTTTAGTGGGTAAAAATAATACAGAAACCTAACTTGGCGATATTTTTCTAGCAGCAAAAAAGCACAACAAAATGTGGCTAAATGTCGACACGTAGAATATTTTTTTCTTCTATTACACAGAAAGATATCGATAAGCTGACTATGTGTCATAACATAGAAAAGTGTCTCTCATTAGTGGAAGAGAAAGATAAACGGAATTTTAAGTCAGTCCAGCTGGAGTTTAGAAACTGGCCCACCAAAGACAATTGCTGAAAGGGTCATATGTTATCTGTATAAGATAAATTTGTTTCTGAGGAAGTTCAGAAATTAAAAATGTATTTCAGTTTATTGAGTCCCCCCCCTCCAAAAAAAAATAGGCTTCTCTTAGAACACAAGGCCTTCAGGGTCTGATTAATTGGCATAGCAAAATGTAATATGCTCGCCTATCATGTTTTGTTAATCCACAAATGACCACACTTCAACTGGTACATTCAGCAGCTGAAATCACTCGAGTTTCCAAAGTGGAACTTTCAGGTACTTTCAGAAAATGTGTTCTGGTTCAGAAACGCACTCTGAAACGGACATCCATAAAGCAGGCACATACTCCACATACCGATCCTGCAGTACCCCTTGCAACAGCCTATAATCCGCGAAGCCACAAACAACTGACAGATTACTATTAGCATTGTATACTGTCTGAAGAAATAATGATACGATACTCTTGGAGAAACGAATTGCACAAGGAATGGATTCCAGACGAAAATCATGTGCCTCTTCGACCCTTAAGATTGGAACATTTATTTTGCTTAGACATTATCTGAGGGTTCTTCAAGGAACAGGAACTGACAGCCTTCTTTGGAAGCAATGATTCAGCAAGACTAGGAGGCTCCTTTACAGAGTTGGTCTTACACAAGCTGCACAAACCCTACAACTACATGTCTACGTACTCGGAACTGCTAAACTAATAAAATGCTGAATCTGTGAAATACCTTGGGTGCATGTCTTGGTGTGGTTTTAGTGTCACCTGTCAGATTTCTCAAATTTAAAATCTTCAGAGAAGATACATACATACATAAAATGTAAAGACGTCTGGCTAGGAATGCTGGAATAACTTGGCTTGTACTCAAGCCCAGAGATTAAAGATTAAAATAATAAAATACAGCCTTACTTGCATGCTCAATAAACTTCTCTGGAAATGGACCATCTTACCCATTTGTTTTTGGTTTAAATTACAAAAATTCTTCTGGGTATAGGAATGTATAATAGCACAGTCAGACTCAAGAATGCAAATGTGTGCACGGGCTCACACAAACATCTGCAGACAAGCAAAAGATGGACACCACATTAATTAATCAAAACAGAGATCAGATACAGCAAGTATATGAACTAAGTGTTTATATAAAACACACCCACAAAAAAACAATCAAAACCCCAGTCCAAAAAAGCAGATATTTTAAAGTAACACACACTGCTCTAAATTAATGAGAATTTTTTGTCATAACATCCCAGAGAGAAGCAGCAGAATGTCTTGTGTTGTTAATCCTTTACTGGTTGTGGTAGTGCCCTGCGGCATTCTTAAAGACTGATCTTTTCCTTATTCCTTAGCAAGCTAAATAAACTATTATGCACTTACTCTATACTTTATCTGATCGGACGAAAGCACAAAGGTTGATGAGACCCCCCTCCAGACGTAACCTATTACACTTAGATTTAAAACTTTAAAAGTTCCACAAACATTACTGCGATTGTTTAACACTTCATTGTTATTTATGCTTTATACTCAGTGACCTTAATGGAATAGATTGACTTTTGAATTTATGAATTTAATGATACATTGTTGCCTCAAAGAGGCTCCAATTAAAAAATGTATTTTGTCATTTACTCAGGTGAGTGAATCTACACTGATTCATTAACCCTATGAATTTAAAGGGAAAAAAATTCACTGTTTTACACTGGAATATTCGTCAGCATTGCCTCTTCTATGCTTTAGTGGGTGTCAAACAAGATTTTTCTGCTATGTGTGGAGGAAGGATAGGCAGTTTGAGGGAAAAAATATGAGCTGTTAAAGATTAACTTACCTCCAGCAGAGAAAAGCCACTTCAAGCGAATACCGTACGGCTCAACAGTGTTGAGTCAGAGAAGGAAGCGAGACAAACACCAACAGTAGATGCAATTTCTACCAGGGCTCAGATCTTCTAAAAGCAAAGTAAGGGTGTCTTGTAACCCTAATTTGACACATTGACGGCTTTTCAGTTTGAGGGATGTCTAGGTCGACATCTATCACTATGCAAATCCTCGAGCATCTACACTGCACTCTCCTACCCACCAGCTATATTTCGATATCTTATGTTTCTCCAAAGGTAGGTGATGATACTGCAGAACTGTAGCCAGAAGCTAATCTGGCTATCAAACAGAGTAAACAGTGTGTGATTTGTAAGGTCTATAAAAACATGACTTAATACAGAATACATGCTCAAGTAACAGAGAAGCTTATGACACTAATAATGGGTTTATCATCAGAACTGATCCAAATAATCCACAATGCTCAATTCAGTGTTTCATTTAGTCATAATTATTAAGAAGAAAAGAAATTGGCAATCTACACTTATTTCTAATGCAAGTTTTGTATTATTATTATTACATAATACATAATAATAATAATCAATCATCATCATCATCGTCGTCATGTACTTGCATCAGAAATAACTAGCGCTTCTGCACCAGCACTGACTCACCCACAGCATGGAGACACTCAAGAAGAATGCAGATTCTGATTCTGCCAGTGAATTACAACAGAGTCCATTAAAGCCAGGTTACTTTTCTCACTCCCTGTGGAGCAGTGAAAACAAACCAAGACTTAGCAATAAATAGTTATGTTTCATGAGCCTCTGAATCCCAGTGTCTTTAAAAACACGTTTGTAAGTCCCAGTCGCTTATATTGCACACGACACATGTATACTACATACTAGTGGATGGAATAAGACTTTGAATCCTTCAGTGAGTGAAATTACAGTGTTCTCAAACACCGCTTGTTTTAACTTCACCAGGAAACAAAAAAGTGGTTTAAACCAGTCAGTAAGCAAACAATACTCCCACATAACGTGGGCTTTAATGTGCACATTTCTCCAATAACTAGGCATTCTATGGTTTTAGAAGCTATTTTATGAAGTTATTTTTGAATGTCAACATGGAATTGTCTACATTAAATATAGGTTCCAACGTCATGACATTTAATTAAAGCAGGTTTCAAAGAAAATATTAATTTACTACAATGTGTAGCCATCGTGATGAAACATTTGAAACTGTACCGCAAGCAGGGCTTTTGATGACCAGATGAAGGTAGAATAAATCATACGCTATAGAATCAACAGGGACCCCTACTGGTCAGGTCATAATACAAATTGATATTTCCGCACCATCTGTAATCAACGGCAACGTTTGCCTTATTCTCATGTTATATAGAAGAATTTGAAGGATGCAGCCACTTGCATTACTTTATCAATCACCAAGCAGTCAACGGGAAGGCGAAAACAAGAATAAGGATAGACTTAACATAAAATGTAAGATATGATTACCTACGGCTGTAAACTCATAACTGAGATGTTTAATTAATGTATTTAACTTTAACCAGGACTAACAATAACATTAATAACATTAAGAAGCGATTCCCCGTTTCATATAAGTATTGGAGCAGAATCACTAAAAACACCGCAATCGCTTCAGTACTCCGGCCGTTCTCATAGTTTAGTTATTGAATACGTACTATTTTCACTCTGAGAAATAATTACCCTTTAGGAATTTAAACCCCGTTCCCCTAAGTTCGGGCTTTCTGGTCCAAAATCACAAATCACCTTCTCTGCAAAAGCGCATTGTGAAGGGAGTCGTAAAATACATTTCTCCACACATTATAGGCCTACTGACGTTAATACACGAACAACCATTTTAAACAAACATCGAAAAAAGCTGACAGATGTTTTTCCTTCCCATATCCTATAAATTAAAATAAGATGGGTACATAAATCATGTATAAATGCTGCATCATTGATTGGTCATGTCTACCCAGTCTTGTTCCTTGTGCTGGCTAAGACAGGCTCCAAAAGTTATAGGTGGATGGATGGATGGATGGACGGAATCATTCATTCGAATTTTACCAGCAAAAATAATTCAACAAAAGTCTTAAAATATATAAGAATTGGAGATAAAGTCTGTATTACACAAATCATCAAATCATTCTAACAGTAAAGAACACAAAATGTCTATAGAAAATAACTAAACCGTTAGATGTCGAGACTGTTAAACAGTTTCTCTGTCCAAACTTTAGCCACAGTTACTAAATCACGTCAATCTCTTAAAAAAGAGAGACCTTTCCAGAGTAATTATAGTAGCTTAGCGTCAGAGCGACGGATACTGATGAGTTTCATTATGAGAAAATTTAAGTATGCATAACTCTCCTACCCCACACGTTCAGTTACAACTAAATGTAAAATCATTTAAGACTTTTAATATGCACAATTCAAGCTACAATATATATTAAAACCACAACACTTCAAAGTTTAAATCCTGCAAACACGGACCAATCGAATGACCAAAGTTTGCAAGCAACTTTCTGCAAATAAATGACCCGATATGTATGAACAGATTTACCTAATAACATGACTTCCAGTTTCTTACGGTCCACGCGAAAGCGCTCCTCTGTCCACTCCGGGTCGCACGGGGCTTTCGGTCCGCTGGAGTCATCCTCAGACACTGGGAGCGGGGAATCTGTGCTACGCTCGCTGTTCGATCCCGGGTCCGACTGCTGCATGTATCCGCTCAAGGTGTCGCAATGGGCAGCCATGGCGCCTGCAGAGCACGGCTACGAAAAGCCAGGGCTCCTCGCTAACTGAGTTAAAGCTATACCAAACTTAGAAACCAGCCGCCCTCATCCCCCCTCGCATTCCTCTGTAACTAAGTGAAAGTCATTGTTTTTTATATCTTTCATTCACTGCTTCTTCTCAACTACAGATCCGTCCGTCCGTCCGTCCACTTCACTCCGGCCAGCTGAGATCCCGAAGTAAAACTGGGACACGCATCCCAAATGCTTTCTCACATGTGTCAAAACTTACTTCACCCACACTCCTCCCAAGGTTTTTTTTTTTTTCTTTCGCTGCGCCTTTTGGGCAACAAGCAGCAGATGTTGCATTCTGAATGAACCTGAAACAAAATAAGCTTAAACAAAATACATTTTGCAGGCATGTGCAATTTTTTAAAAAGTTTTTAAGTTGTATTCTGTGCAATGTATCAAAGTGACCCGACTTCTTTTACATTTAGTTAACATTTAGCCTGTGCTATTTGGGTTACGAAGAAAATACGCAAACGCATCTTAAGAACCCGCTATGCGTTAATATTTTATTGAACCTAAAGGACAAGTGATACAATTATGATTAATCATATAAGTGGCAAATGCGTAGACTGCCTTGACACGCATTCAGAAGTTTAAACAGAAAGCGCCTTGAATGTTTCTCGGTGGCGACGACTCTGGGGGAACCTAAGGAAGTCATAGGAGGTTCAACTGCGGAAAAGAGGAAGCAATATACCCTTGACGATATAAAAGTAAACAATAATAATGGGAACAAGCAACAACTCTGATAGAACCACAAAAGAAGTTTTAAACCGTGTCTGAGGGTCTGAACACGTACGGTTCAATTTAAAATATGGATTTATTTTTTTTTTAATTATGAATAAAACAGGCAGAATTAAAGGAAAACATATATAGTCACTTGTGGACCTGCTGTTTCTTATATTATCTATCCAGAGAATACTATAATAATAACTAATCTAAAATGGAAAGTAATAAAATATATAAAACCGTGTTTTGGAAAGTAAGACACATCACAGATATTACAATACTGTAGGACACTATTAAACCCATACATGCCCAGTATGCAGGTATGTCAGAAATGCAGGCAAGCCATGATTTTCAAATCAAATCTGAATCAAACTGAATTTTGTGAAACTTCCATCAGTGCATCAAAATCCGGCAAGATGCTTCATTATCCAGACAAACGATGGCTGTTCATTCTGATAAAGAAAGACCATTAAGAGACAAAAGTTAGATGGAGAAGACTCTGCTGTAGGACAACAGGGTTTTACATATATATTTAGAAAGGTCACATGGTAGCAGATGGGCCCATTGGTAATCACTAAAAAAGGTTGGCGTCCAGGTTGTACTCAGCAGTTGGACCCTGTAGGAAGGTAATGAACCTGAACTGAGTGAAAAAAGCAGTACCCAGCTGTATAAATGGATAAAGTGTAATGCCCTAAATTATGTAAGTGTTCAGTAAGAACAACTAAAATAATACAAATTGGGAGAACTGGTCAGAGGTTGAACACAAGGTTAGTGTGTACTGATCAGAGAGTACTGTGGTAACCTAGATATTTTTTATGGGATTGGCTGCTAAAATCAGGATTTAAAAAAACTTAGTTACTAGTTATCAGTTAGTTGCTAGAGATGCATGTAAAGAAGTAGAGAAAGGGATCAGAGGAAGTGCCAATATTTGTTAAAGAGAAATTCCCTTCAGTTTATTTGGGTTTATAACCAGCATCCCACAAATGTAAAGAAAATGGGATTATGTGAATCTTACAAGGAAAATAGTTACAAAGAAAAGTTATCATATCGGGCCCCCAACCCAGATCAATCCAGTTATGTTCTAGATTTTTAGGGCCCCTATCACTCAGGGCCCTTGAAATCATGGTGCCCCAGTCAATCGGGCACAGTTCTGTACTGGAACTTTAAAGGGACTGAAATTTGCCATTTACCTCAAATCTGTGTACTCCATCCGTCCCGAAAGGTCTTATCATCCTAGAGCTTACTTTTGTTATCAAATTTATTTCATAGGCTCCTGATATCCGCAATATGCCACATAAACAAACAAGGACCATATTTCTAACAGAATTTAATATAAAGAAAGTATTGCCATCATATAGGTGTCTTACCATCTGAATGAATTGACAGTTGCATATCTAAATGCAAACTTATAAAAAGATAAAGGTCCTTCCCACGAGATGAATCTCTTGTTGATTTGAATTGTTGACAGAGGTTTTATCCTTAGGCACTGCCTCAGGCATTAAGGTGTTGTCATTTAAATGTGCCTGTAGCAATTTGTCCGAAGAACTGTGAAACATCTAAAGATTTCTGAAACAAACCATGAAATAATTATTCATTTAAAATATTAATATACGAATTTACTTACGACCGTGAACTGAAGCTTTTATAAACTGAGGACATTTCTTGCGATGCTTTAAACGATTTCGCTTCATAATAGTAACCATTTCTTTATGTCGACTTGAACACCTTAGCAAATACTGCCACCATGTGGTTTATTAAAAAGAATTAGTCTATGATGGCCAAATTAAACACATTTTACAGAAACAACTTAAGGTTATATCTGTTCGTCCTTTTGCTGTAACACACATGCCGGGTCGCACTGCATCTGACATTCTCGCACTCCTCACTCCTATGTAGTTACTGCAGGACGTCATAATATAGTTTATTACGTAAATACTCCGTAGCCATCGCGGGTTCACTTCAGGAAGTGCAGCTGAGAGGCGCTGCTAATGCACAATGCAGATGTAAATGTGAATTATGTACGTATTGCATGCACAAATATCCTTTTTATTGACATTTGTGTGCAGATTTTGACGTGTTTGTACCTATGACGACGGGAAATCTCGTTAAATGTCTTGCAGGCGCAAATGCATTTGTTATATCCCGCGAACAAAATGGAGGCTCTTGTTTACAGTTGAGACTAGCTACCTTACTATAGCTATATATTTTTGTAAAATTTATGTTGCTTTCCGCGTTGAACGGATTTTATACAAAACAACATAACTGCGCTGTTAGAAGTAGTTTTTGGCGTTAGGTTTGCAATAAAAAACCGCCTTGCGTACAAAAGATGATGTATAGTCTACCATCTCTCAAGGCGCGCGCCCCTGCACAACAGACTACATGCAAAGTATATCCGCGCGCCGGTAATTTTGCAGCTTTATTGCTTTTTCATTTTCATTTATATATTTTTATTAAAGGATGAGCGATCCACGCGATGTCGATAACAGTCCCAGCACGTCGGCGTCTGCCCTCAGACCGGGCTTCCCTTTGGGTCGAAGTCTCCCGGGAAGGACGTCCCTGAATTCCCCTCCTCCCCCTCCAGGCAGACTGAGCTCCTTGCGCTCCAGAGACCTGACCTTGGGCGGGTTTAAAAAGGTGAGCCTGGCCGGAAGGTTAGCATCCTTGTGCACACATTTCACCATTTCCTGTGGCTGATAGATAAACCTGAACTCCAACCGTGAGGGTCAGTCATTACAGCTGGAGAAGGAAACCCGCCAGAGCATGAAAATATACTCGAATAAATAAAGAAAATATGTCCGCCATATGGGTGCATTATTTATACTGGTGTGGGACAGGTTTATTTTATTATGTACAAATAATGTTGTGAAATGTAGTAGAAAACTGTAAAAGTAATAGGTTAAAGTTGAAAGCAGTTCAGTTAGTGTAGATGAACATATTAATCACAGATAAGCACTAAGACGTCTGCTTGTGTGTAAATAGTTTTTAATTCTTGCTTATAAAGTCTTCAATCTTTTTTCCTTTTTCACTTGTAGAAAACATTTGTCCCAAATGTGCATTCCATTAGGAAAACAAAAGATGAGTAAGTATGGATTCTGGGGTCTTAAATTTTTAAATCCCTGTATGACACACTAGACCTACTGCAAAATGTTCCCTAACAGTCCCTAAAGTAAACAGTCTGGCTCCAAACATGGAAATGTTTTTGGGATTATGTGACAAAAACAAAATTCTCAATTAATATTTATGGTACATGTCAAATAGTACTACCTTGTAAACATGGAAAAATACTGCTTTTAAGTGTTATAAATCTCATTTGGAGGTTGAAGGAAGAAACTCACACAGCGCCGAAGAAGGAAAAGAGAGAGCGGGAAGAGCGATCGAAAGAGCACAGAGGAAGGAGGAGAGAACGACCACAGACTATTCAGTCGCACTCCATATTTGAACAAGGTCCTGCTGATACATTTAGGAAAATAGGTAAACACATTTCGAAGTGAAGAATGAGTCGTTGTCTGACTGGGGCAGTGTGTATTACATATCCAGTTTATATTTTTTTAACCTCAGAGATGTTTGTGTGGAATTTTTCGTGTTGTACAAAAGCCTGAAGGTAGAAATTTCTCAGTGGGCTGGTCTATCTAGAAGACTCCCCCCCCCCCCTCAGTTGTCAGCAAATTATACCATGGGAGACCCCACCCCTAGTTATTGGCGAAATTATGGGGCCGTTTGACAGCAAATTCCCAGGCTGCTTTCTGTTGCCAGTGTACCCCTGAGTGTGTGTGTGTGTGTGTGTGTCTGTGTGTGTGTGAGCGGGTTTACCTATCCTTTTGGGGACACAATGTCCCCATAACGTGATAAATATCCGTTTTTTTCCCCTTATGGGGACCGGTTTCCTGGTCCCCATAAGGGAAAACTCTATTTTATAAAAATCGGTGACTGCTATGAAAAAAAACTAAAAATGCAAAAACTCTTGTATTTTGTTAGGTTACTTATGGTTATGGTTAGGGCAGGGTAGGGGTTAAGGTTGTCATAGTTAATGTTAGCATTTTTCCCATTGAAATGAATGAGCGGTCCCCATAAGGATATGTTTACCCTACATGTGTGTGTGTGCCATGCAATGGACTGGCATCCCATCCAGGGTGTTCCCCTGCCTTGCAGCCTGGGACAGGCTCCAGGCCCCAGGTTGGAAGTTGGATTGATGAATGTTCCTAACTGAGCTTTTTTTTTTTTCCCAGGCAGCTGGGAAAGAACAGAACTGAGCGAGTCTGGCCTTTCGCCCGTCTTGAAATGCATCAAAAAGGAGAAACGCACTTCAGAAGACGACGAGGACGAGATTTTACAAAAGCTCCATCGGGACGACGTAAGCCGTGGCCGTGGTGACGGGAGACAAGCGTTGGAGGCCATTTGAGCTTAGCCTGGCAGAAGGAATCCGAAATAGCGGTTTCGTCTGCCAGAATCTTCCGAAATGCTTTGGTCGGTGAAAAATTTGTCAGCATGTGAGGAGCTGCATTTCGGATGCCGTCTGTCACCTTTGCTTCAGATGCTCCAGAATTCACTCGTGCTACAAGCACGGGAGTATCTGTTGTATTTGTTTAACTTCTGTTTAAATTACCATTTATTTTAAACACCTGTGTCATTATTGTCCATATGACTCCCTCCTTTCCGTCTTAATAGTTTTTGGATGACCCAGGTCTGAAAAATGATGCAAGGAACAGACCAATTCAACTGCCACTGTATAAGTCCAGTGATTTTTTCAATGCCAGTGAGCCCACCACCCATAGTAAGTCCCAATACTATTCATCCACTTATCTTCTCAGCCTTTTATCCTGGCCTGCAGTAAGTAAAATGAAAAGGCCCTTAATTTGCCATTTGCAGAAGTACAGATACATTGCAATGCTCTTTCTCCACAGATCACATCTTGCCGTCTTTCAAGAGACACACATATACAGTTAGGACACAGCTTGGGGTCTGAGCACAGGGTCGGGCGATTAATCTGGCACATCTGAAGCATTCCAGGGGGCTAAGGGTCTTGCTCAAGGGCCCAATAGAGATGTGACTATTGTGCCGAGTCCAGGGCTCGAAGCAGCAACCTTCCAGTGACGGGCAACGAGCTCCAACCCACTGAACCACACACAGTGCATACAGTGCAGTACAAAACAGTGAACCCAGAATATTCTAAGTACCTTAAAAGCTATGGTGCTGTAAACCTAATGCTAACACAAAAAATGTACATGTCAAATGTATAGAACAAAACTTAATTTTGGGTACATCACTGTTTTCTCCGGACATGCATCAGTACTGAATTGATGATTGCAGTGACCAAAGTGCTTCTTGCACTGTTCTTCAGTTAAAGAAGAAGCATCGTTTGACTGTACAAGCGTGAAAGCTGCCGGCACAAAGGCACAGAGGCAGCAGCCCCCCACAGCAGCGGAGTGCAGCCCGGCCCCCCAGCAGCCCAGTGTGGCGGAGCTCTTCCAGCGGCTCAGTGTGTGCGACGAAGAGGCCCTCCTGTTCATCCAGCTCCCGGACAGCATGCCCGGCCAGCCCGCGGCAAGTGCCGAGAAACCCGCCAAGAAGGAGAGCAAGGCGGAAGATCTGAAACGAGCCGCTCAAGCAAAGGCGCGAGTGAGTTTCTCCATCATACCTGCCCATTAAGCCGAGGTCCAATCACACAGACCGACATTATTAATTTTATAAACATTAACCATCACAGTTCGACATTTTCACATTTATTACTCAGAATCATACTCAGAACTCATCTTATTCGACAGGATCCAGTTGGGAAAGAAGGACCCCCGGTTCTGTCGGATTTCTCTGAGGGACTCATAGGAAAACTGCAGATTAGAAAATCTGGCAAAGTACAGCTGCTCCTAGGGGAGGTCGCCTTGGACGTTTCGGAAGGGGCAGCGTTTTCCTTTTTGCAGGTACAAGCACTTGGTCTGTCAAGAGCAGTGTTTCCCAATACCGGGAGCTGGGAGGGAGCAAAAATGTGGACTGTCTGGCAGGGAGCAAAAACATGAGAGTCCCTGAGGACCGGATTGGGAAACACTGATCAAGAGCATATCTCACAGACACTTCTCTTCTACATTTAACAATTTAAGGAGATGAGACAACATACCTTCTTAAACACCACAATACACAATAAAGTTTTAATATAGTAAAGCTTAGAATTTGACATCTTTTTGGCATTTTTGCAGCAACTCGTGTCTGTCCGCTTATCCGAAGGCCTCACCGGGGAAATGAGTGTCCTGGGAAACGTGAAGCACAAGCTGGTGTGCTCTCCGGACTTTGAGCTGCTTTTGCAGGACGTTGCGCGCTCCTCTGCCGCATGCCCAGGGAACGGATAGGCATGCAGCGGTGTCACAGTTCGTACAAGTCAGCAGGTTACCTGTACTAGATACCCACACAACTAGCCATTTAAAAAAAGTAGCAAAAAATGTATCGTGTTTGAGAATATTTGTGTGAAACGCATTCAGTAGAAAATAGTTATTTATTACATCGTTGAAAGACGTGAAAAATGTGACGTTTTAACCATAAACACATACTAAATGCATTTACCTAGTAAATCAGTTTTTTTTTTTTTTTTTTTTTTTTTTTTACATACTGGTTATGTCAATAGACACATTTTAAACAATACTGTGTTGTAGTATTTTTGACTACTGGAAGTACAAGAAAAAAAGAAAAAGTCTTCATTTGCCATTATTTACAAATCTGCATTGTGTGTACTGATCCGTTACGACACTGGTTCAAACAGGCTTAAGCCATATGCCCTGTAATAGCCAGGCATGCTAACACTCAGGAGCACATCTTTGCAGAGTGGTTTTATTCAGGGTGGAACCTTCCTTTCTGGCCCCAGCGTGTCCCCTCGTGACGTCACTCTTCAGCTTTCCCTTTCCTCACCGTCTTGCTGCCAGCGGAGGTGGCTGCAGTCTTAGCACCTGCTGCTCTTACAGTCCCCTTAGTCCTGATAGTTTTCACGCTGGACTTCATCTTCGGCTTCTGGCGGGAGGCCGTCTTCTTCACGCGGCCGACGGAACCCCGGATCAGGTCCACCCTTCCGATCTCTCGCATGTGCTCCTCCCACGCCTTCATTTCGTTTTTGTAGCGAATTTTCTCATCCTCGGCTTGCTGCAAGTATACCTATGGATGGACGAACAAGGATGACATTTTCCTAAGCAAATCTGTGACTTTGTGAAATAAGCCAAATACACACACACACACAAACACACACACAAGATCTCTGTTCAAGACCTACCTGTTTCTGTGTGGTATTCAGCTTCTTCCATTCCTCCATTAATGTTTTTGTCTTTGTCTAAGAAAATAAGTTTTTTTTTTTTAATTTACCACAGTACATTCTATGAAGATTACATAGTATAACATGGTTGTAATATTGTAGGGTGATTATTGTGAAAATGGGACAGTTAAACTTTTCAGTCAATATATGTGTTTAGTAATACTTTGCTATATAGTGTTCAAGGGGCATTAATGTATTTAGAATGGTATCAAGTCGGGACTCAGGACACCGAGGTGATTTTTCCAGAAAGCATCCCATTCTAACAATACTCACCCTAATGTATGTAATGCATGTATGTAATGTGAGGTTAATCTTACCAGCATTGTGGCTCCCTTGGTTTCTGGGTATTTTTCCGCTATGAAGATGAAGAGGCCGGTCTTGGGCCTTTTGGGCTTACCCAGGCTTTTTAACTCCTGAGAATGTCAAAGAAGCCAAATACATTTGAAAAACTTGGAATGCAAACCAACACAGCTGCAATGTTCAGGGAAATACGTTCAGGCTAGCAGGCGACCTTCCCAGTGGATAAACCCTTTTGATTACACACACACACACACACACACACACACACACAGGTGCCCCCTTTCCCCACCTTCCTCTTGCGGACGGCTTTCCTCTTTGCCATCTTCACTCTCCGGGCTTCCTTGAGAGCAGCGACCTGAGATGGACTGAGCTGCGCCTTGTACTGCTCCATCTCAGCATTATACTGCTTCCTGGCCACAGATGACGCCTCCTCAAAGGGCTGCAGGAATGACACGGATCGAGACAAATCTTATGTACAGTCTCAGGGCAAGAGGGTCAGATCTTTAATACTACGCTTCACCTGCCGTTTCGTGAATTTGAACTTTTTTTGTATGAACACATTTAGGCTAAAGGGTAAATAAAAATTAAATTACGGAAAGAATATTCATGGTTAATAAAAAATGCATCCAGGCATTTTTCTAGAGTTTTACTCTGGTCAGGGTTGCAGGAGGATGGGCCTGGAACCTATCCCAGGTGGCACAGGGCATAATTTCGGGGCCCACTCCAGAAAGGACACCAGTCATGGGCATAAATTATAGGGGGACGAGAGCGTGGTCACCCCCCCAATAATCAAAACCAGCCAATGCAACCACCTCAAATGGGTGGAGACCACAACCCTCCCCAATACCCAATCCAAAGTCATGTCGTTGACACCAGTCCATCACACACTCAATCGTCTTAATTTGCCACATTGAAATGCCTTACCTTTTTCTGCTCAGGTGTCAACTCCCTCCATTGCTGTGCGATCTTTCGACTTAAATCAACAATTTTCACATCTGAAGAGACAAAGATTTAATTCCTATTATGAATTGGCAATAATTGCATGAGATTTTTACTGCGGTAAAGTGTGATTCAGGATTCCGCGTGATTTATGTGCAGTGCAGTGAGGTATACTGGAAAAGAGTTGCATTTTGCTACTCATGATTTGCGAGTTAGAATGCCATCACCTCCACCCTGAAATCTGCCAATATTATATCACATTAAAAATGCATTTAGTGCACAAAAACTGATTTGTGGAAAAAAAAAGTCACAAACATATTTTTGCACATTTTCACTTCATTGAGCTCTATGGCTAATTGGAATTGCAGGAGATTTGAAAGCAAATTACCTAAAAAGTGACCGAGAAGGATCAAAGTAGGCTAATATTGACCAGGCTGATTTGTGAATCCAAACCAAATGTGGTCAGTCATAGGTCAGCGTGTGGGAAAAAAATACTGTTTTTACACATAAACCTTAACAATGAAAACACCCTCATAAATCACAATATCCATGCTGTTTTTGACACAACGTGATTTGCGAAACAATTCATAAATATATTTGCTCACGTGTCATCACTCAGTGTAAATGCAAACTATCTTTACCGCGGTGTAATTTTTACATTCTTATTGGCATTTAAAGTCCCTGGAGCAAAACTAGATCATGCGTCATGCTCCGAATTAAAGACCAGTCCGGCCTGCTATGCAGCAGTCATCTTCACCTGGATGCTGCCTGGAGACGACCGGCCACTGCTGCTGCACGAAATGCAGGTAGCTGGTCTTGGGCCTCTTCGGCGGACCGTCCGAGGTGGTGCTGAAACTTTTAATCGCGGCGGAGATCCTAATAATACAGGCGGGCGGGTGTACAGCGAAAGCATGTAATAATGCAACCATTACACTGCGTGCTACTCAGTGTCATTTGAATATCATTACAATGCATTGTACTCATTGTCATTTCTTGAATGTCAACAGACCTGATCTTAATATTTGTTTCAGGAGAGTCATCAAAGACGGTGTTCAATGCCACCAGAGTTCAGCCTGTGTCACACGATTCGAGCATATCCCCAGATCGGAAATTGCATCTATACAGCAGACGCCCACGCGGTCTGATAGCCTAGCCATAGAGCAAGCTAAGCTACCGACTGCTGGGTCTTACCTGAAAACAGAGACGCCCGTGAGGAAACCCAGCGGCTTGCTCAGGAGGCTGGCCCCAACTGACATCAAGCTGAAGGAGACCATTTTCTGGTTCTTCAAAACAAACGTCTATCCAACCATTAGATTACAAAAAAGTAATACACTGAATCGGGAAGGTTATTTATCTGGGTAAAATGCTGCCTTGTACCCCCAACGACCGTTTTTGACAAGACATGGAGGTAAAAAACAAAAAAAAGGCGCTCAAAACGTTGTCTTGCCCCGCGGACGGAGCCGAGGAACCGCGCCGCGTCGCACGTTCAGAGTGACGTTATCTCTGTGGGCGCGGTCTAAGGGGCCATGCACTTCAGCACAGTTCATTATATGCGCCTCTTGTCGGCATTTTCAGCGTAACGGTTGCCTGATATAATGTACAAAATGCTGTAAATAAATTCTACATAAGAATTGTAAAAGCCGACGATTTGAATGTGACCTGCTGTTTCGCGGCAAATCAAAAGGCAGCTATAGCCGCGCCCCCCCCCCCACAGCGCTCTTATGGGACCGCCAGGCAGCTCATTTTCTCGATGAAATGCATTGTGGGAAGGTCAAATGGCCTAACAACGTCTCGCACGCTTTGGTTTACCACATCCGTGAAAAGACTTTCTTGACTTTTTCCACAATAAACCAATAACGTTTTTAACGATTTAGATAACAAATATCTTGATGTTTCGAAATGCATGTACATTGCCTTAATATAAAATGTAGTATAAGCATTTCTAAATATTTTAAGCATAAATTTGGTTTAGGTATTATTTAGAGTAACATTATTCCATATCGAAAATGACTTAAAGACTTATAATTTCTGATTTAATGAGGAGAATATAAAAGCGTCAGCTGTTATTGGAACCATGCTGTTGGTTCACAGAAATAATTAATCAGTGCATGGTCTAATTTGTGACAGGATTGAAAGCTGAACAGATGTCTTTTATGGAAAAACATTTCCATGGAGAGATGTCAATACTGCCTGTGAAAATGCCACATCAGTTCGCTGATTTGAAAGCCACCCAGTTAAGTGACAATCGTCACATTTATTCTGTTTGAGAAAGATTACAAATACATGACATCATCCTTTAGATTCTGAAGCTCTTATGAAAATGTTTATAATTATTTCATGTATACTATTTACCCCCCATGGAACTCAAAGTAAAAATGAAACAAAGTATAGCTTGTATAATGTAAAATCAAAATCTTTAATGAAAACAGTATCAGTACAAAATTAATGTCAACTGGCTTTTATAACAACTCAGGGACAGATGATTCTTAATTTTATATTGCTTATGAGACATTTTCACATTACATTTTGTTTAATGACAATTAGAAAAATCTGAAAATTTTGAATCCACACTTCATAGTGTAAGTTGGCCTTTCCGGGGTGTGTGGATAATTGATAACCTCTAATATGCAATCACTGTTAAGTCTCTGGCATTTATGATGGCTAAGGACTTGAAACAGAACAATTATAGTTATACAACCGGCAACAAAAGGACTGTAAAAAAATCATTCAGCATTTTAGCACCTAGTGATTTTCACCTTCAATCATACGGATTTCGTCACATTTAAGTTCATTCCTTACTGTCACCTGGCTTCACAGTCACCTTGGCTTTAGCGGATTTGACTCTGGATTTCCCTGCCCACCCTCTTTTTGCCGTTTCACTCCTGCAGCTTTTCGTCGAATGAGGTCCTCTCTCCCAAGCTCTTGCATATGCTCTTCCCAGGATTTAATCTCATCTTTGTAGCGGATCTTATCATCCTGTGCTAGTTGCAGGTAGACCTTATTAACACAAAGGCATAGACGTAGATTGAGACAATGTTAATTACTGATATCAAGCTTTGCCTGAATTTGGTCAAATTATTCATGTTAGATTGACAAGACCCACCTGTTTCTGTGCGGCATTCAGACTTTTCCAGATGTCCAGCAAAGCTTTTGACTTTTCCTAATAAAGAATGAAATGAAACTATCAGAATCAGAAAAACTTTATTTATCCCGGAGGAAATTGCTAGATGTAAAGAGTACGACACAAGTGCCACTCACAGAGAATGAGAGAGAGTGATGAACGCAAAAAAACAACACAATGACTTGTGAAATTCTCACCACCATCGTTTTCCCTTCGGCTTCCTCAAAATGTTCTGTCATAAAGATGTTGACAGCAGTCCTTGGTCGTTTGGGCTTTCCGAGATTCGTCAGCTCCTGCAAATGTTATGAAGCAAATGAAACAGGTACAAAACGTCTCCAACAAATGTCGCCCATGAGGACTGTGGGTAACGATACTATGCTTCTGTCTAAGCTGACATATTCATCCTTATCGCCTTACAATTTTACCGATTTAAATTGATTGATATTTTAAATACCTATTACATACATTACGAAGCAGTAACCAGGTCTTTTGAAACTCATCTCTTACCTGAACATTTTTGACAAAGAGCAGCAATGGGTGGTATTCCACAGAATTCGTGCTCAATTCACTCACCCTCTTTTTCCTGACAGCCTCTTTTTTGGCCAGTTTCTGTCGCTTTTCTTCCTTGAGAGCTGCTGCCTGAGATGGACTGAGCTGGGCCTTGTACCGCTCCATCTCAGCATTATACTGCTTCTTGGCCGCAGCTGAGGCCTCCTCAAAGGGCTTTGAATAAAATCGCGATTGTGATGTATTCTTCAAGTTATGGCAACCAAATGCAATGATAAGTTATTTAGCGGGAGTGGGAGGTGTCAGAGTCATTCTGATTTCTTCCACCTGCTCTCATTATCTGCAGTGTTCACATACAGGTGTGAGCCGTTTAGTTTTGCCATAGTAATGGATAACTCCAGTGTCAACAATAGCGTCCACAAAATACGCATATTTCATGACAAGTTTATCCAACAACGCAAACAAATTGAAACATCTTACCTTTTTCTGTTCAGGTGTAAGTTCTCTCCATTGCATTGCAATTTTCTGAGTTACCTCGATGATTTTAAATCCTGTAAAAAAGGACAACTAAAATAACAATTTTACGTCAAAACACACGTAATTGATACTTTAATTATTCCTTTATCTATGCGAGTTCATTTTGTGTTCTTTGATCAGCCGTGACATTAAAATGCATCGCTCTATACCTGGGTTCTGCCTGACAATGACGGGACGTTGCTGTTGTGCGAAAAACATGTACCCGTTCATCGGCTTTTTGGGAGGCCCCTCTGAAGTGCTGAACCCTTTTACTGGAACCACGGCGATGCATCTTTATAATGTCGAGAGAGAGAGAAATACTGCAATGGGATGGTCTGCTAGCAGCAATATCGACCTCGCAAGAAAATGTGACCATATATTACACTTAACTGTATACTACTGATTTAACTGCTTTACATCAACGCTTCCTGCGTACATTACCACTTAAGGATCTTGCACGATGGCCTTTATCGTTAATGCAGCATACACAGTCATGCTGACTACACCTTTTAAATATTTCTTCTGACTCCTAATGCATCTTGCCACTTACCTTAAACACGCACTCGAGAAAAGACTCAGAGGCTTAACTAGATAGCCGCTACAAGATGAAACTAAACCGAGGAGAGCCATGTCTTCTTGAAAACGTATATCTATGCAGACATACTTCAGAAAACGTCAGATCGGTTGACTGTAGTTCTGAGTACAGCTGCCCGCATCCTCCGGGATACGGCATGGACCGTAAAACACTTGCCAGTCCCAATAAAGGTCTAACTACCGCGAATTATTTGCGAATCCGATATCCCTCACTTTCATACGCCTCCATTCTGACAAAAGTGCACAACACCGTGTAACGATGGCCCAGACAAACGAGTATTTGCGAATATTTCAAATTGAAATTTCCACTATATGAATCCTTTAAACTCTTCAGATTGCCAAAACATGTACGTACGAGGCGCCGCTATCTGGCCTACGTCATGCAGTAGAACCAATGATTTTTCAATGGTTTCTGAGAAACGCCCAATGAAAAAACTGAACTCTTCGCGGTTTCTATAACCTCAACTCCATCTCGTCGCACATCTATGCGTTGTTATCAAATGGCCTTATGGGAAAAGTTGAACTGAACGTAAACTGCTCTTCGATTCATTTGGTACTTTCGCAATATCCAGCTCTGCCACTTAAAATGCTGCATTGCTGTATGTCTATTTTTGTATTATTTTTTCTTTCTGAATGAAAATCAATAGATTCTGAAGCTGTATTTGTGACATTTTATAATTATTTGCAGTCCTCTATGTAATATTTCTATATGCTAGGCATACGTTTACGTTCTCATTTTGTTTCTTGTTTGTATCTGTGTTAACTTCAGAATTTGTAAGATCTATCACGCACGCACACCACATGGGTGGTTTGACAGTCTGCTCTTCAAAACATGAATAATATATTATTTAGAATAATATTTTAATTAGTTAGGCTGGTCAGATAAATATAAAATGAGATAAGTCTCCGTAGTTTTAGAACATGACAGAAGAAAGTCAACCTAAAACAAACCAAATTACATGAGCTCTCTTTCTCATTTAAGAAATCCAGCAGCTTCGTGATAAGTCTGAGAAAGATCCACTGTAGTAGATAGATAGATATCTAGATAGATAACTAGATAGATAGATAGATAGATAGATAGATAGATAGATAGATAGATAGATATCTAGATAGATTTCCTGATACAAGCATTTCAAAATATTTTCCCATACACTGTCAGGAAGCAGTACCAATTAGTACCAAAGTACTTTTGAGGGCACAGTTACGTGTCACTGGGGTTGTACCCCCAAGGGTCTGCCAATTGTAGCCATAGATAAATGTACCTTTTAATCTAAGGTACAGAATTGGGCTCTAAGGAGCATTTGTGTGCCATTGGTTGTACGTTAATGTTGTTTGTATCTGGGGGAACAAAACTGTACCAGGGCTGCACCCTTTTTCTGACAGTCTAAGACGCATCCATTGGTTTCCAGACTGATTTCTTGGTGAGGGGGTCCGACCAGACCTGTCTTTCCAAAGCCATGGATTCTAGTACATTCTGCGGATCCACAGGCATTCCCAACATAGTTATGAAATAAATTCCCTTCATTGTATCCTGGGTATTTCCTGAAATCCCCCTGCCCTCTCTTTTTTAACAGTGCCACCTTTACCACACACTTTTTACATTACATTTATTAATCCCACCCTTTTTTGAAAATTATGATTTTGATTTTTTGGGACAGCAGGGTCAGACAGCCCCAAGAGCAATTGGGGGTGAGGGGCCTTGCTCCGGGCCCCACAGTGGAATCACTCTGCTGACCCTGGGATTTGAACCACTGACCACAGACTCAGACTAGCCCCCTGATCCACATACCACACCCCCCCACTTCACATAAAAGATGTTCACACAAACCTACATATGCAGTTTTTATACAATTTTTAATGCAAAATAATAAAAATAGATCCAGACCAGTTTTGTACTATACAATAAAAATTTCTAAATGGAAAAAAGAAATTACCTACAGAAAAGAAAGAAAAAAAATCTTAATGGATGCCTGTTGTAAAAACTGCATAATTTATTTTTTTAATTAAAAAATGGACCCAATGACTAAGGAAGGGGAAAAAAGAAACATGTTACATTTGTGAATTTATACAACTGAAATTGCTTGTATGATAAATGTTAACAGTACATTATGTTCAATAGTATAACCTAAGGGCTTTTAGGCTCTAGAATTTACAGTGCTTTGTGACTTGAAATTATTGGCTAAGTTTTTACATTGCATATTTTTGGGTCCATTCTCTCGCCAGTCTGTTGTACCTGAACAAAAAAAAAATACAATAAAAATGACAAAGACCGTATTACACCTAAAGGGATAATACATACAGCAAGCAAAAGCATTTTTTCAGAAGCAATTTCATATTTAAACTTTTAATTAGTACACCTTTCCAGTGTTTTGCAGTGCTTTTCAAACGAATTCTGCATCCCCTTGGAAATTAAGTTAAATGAGTCAAATGAGCAATACAATGCTCAGCTACACTGGATTAGTAGTTACAGAAATATTTTCTTAGCACAAAAGATTTGTAAATAGCATTATAAAAGTTTATTTCAGTCATGCATGGAGAAATCAGATGTGTCAGCTTATTTTAGATTTTACTAGGTAACTAATGAACTTTATATAATAGCTTTTGCTATTGATATGATGGCTGGCATTCTGAGTAAGAATGTACCCAAAACAGTTTGCAATCACTTGAAGCCTGACACACTACTAGCATATATTTCACCTGACAGTGTTTTCAGTCAGATGGCTAAAATTAAGACTTTGTCTGCCACCAAAATAATGTGACTTAACAAAACAAACAAATTTAAGTCTAAATTACTCATACATGTTAACAGGCACCTTTGTTGCAGTTTTAAGTTACTACTAAGTAATAAGAAAATTAGCTTAATTTAATGATTGTTATGTGTACAATTGTTTACTAAAAGGACAGCACTATTTGTAAGTATATTAATTTCCCCTGATGGGGACACAGGCAGAACAGATTTTCAGTCAATTTCATATGACAAACAATTATAATTAAAAATTTAAATACCATACTCACTTTTCTTTGTCAGACTTGTAGATGTGTGCTATATCTGGAACTAATGGGTCATCTGGATTTGGATCACAGAGCAACGAACATATGGACAGTAAAACTATAAAAAAGATAAAATGATGATGATAGATTTTTTTCCCCCAAAAATACTTTCTCTTTGTAAGTGCACACATGATATATAAAAAAAAACAGTTTGGGTTATGACATTATATGAATCTAACAGCTGAAAATGGAGGCCAAAGTGTCACAATGACAGTCGAGAGCAGATTAAATATTTTATGCCTTGAATCTGATATATATATTTATGTTGGTCATGTTGGATCATTTAATAAATGATCCATGATGTTATAATGTATCACAGCACAACCCTGTCAAGCGCCTTGGGGTGACACTGACAATAAAGGCATTATAGAAAAATAAAAATAAATTAAATTGAATTTAATTGAATAAAACTGGGCTTAAAAATAAGACCTGGGCTACTGTGTGTTACTAGGCTTTATATGTCATGCCTGAAATATGTACTTGTTCGGCAAACATAATTTTATACACACACACACACACACACACACACACACACACACACACACACAATATTAATATAAGACTGACCTTTTGACACTGTTAGAGCTGGTGACCACTGTGATCTCAGAATGTCCAGGCAGATACTTCCATTACTGTTTATGTTTGGGTGATATATTTTTGTCGTGAATGCTACCTAATGAAATGGGAGGAATGTAAGTCGTTAGTTTCTGTCAAACCGAGAACGTCAATGCATTTTGGAAGCATTTGGTATTTCTAACCTTTGGTGGTTTGAAGGGATAGTCTGTAGGAAAGTGGATTGTGAGAAAAAACACTCCTCCTTGATATGGACTGTCACCCTGCAAAACAACACATCTGGGCATTTTAAACAGTAGAAGGGCAAAGCACACAGTATCATACTCAATTTAAATATAATCATTTCTAGCATTCTGAAGGCAAATCATCCCCAATCTGATACCAACGTATTTTCATACTATTTCTGATGCAATTATATAAATAACTATAGCTGGAAAAGGAGAATTACTTGATATTATAAATTAATAAATGACACTCTGCTTTCTAATTTTGATTGAAAGCACGGTCAGTGTTAAAATTTGGGTCATTATGTTCTGATTTAAAACTACACGATGAATCCCAGCAGTACTTACCGGCCCCATTATTGTTGCTTGCCAGTGAAACACTAAACAGTAAAGAGAAAAAAAAATCTCTTAGTCATCCGGGAATCAAATATTATAACATTTTACATAAGAAGAAAAATGAGAAGCTTACAGTCCTCTCCGACTGGACCTGCAGAACACTGGGCAGGCGGATCTCTTTGTAAATCATGCAACTCCTGGAAGGGAAAGGACCAAATAAACTTGAAAAACAAAATCAGATCGTTCCGGTTTTTCTCAAAAATTCATTCAGCAAGAATGTGTCCTGCTTGCAGAGATCAGACGTCACCACTAGATTAAAAACATGCGCAAACATGCTCCGCCAGCTGAGCGGGATTTATTCTTTAAAAACACAGCCGTGTTATTCATTACCGTTTTGTTCTACTGTTTTGTAAAAAACAAAGATAGTTTTACTGGAAAAATACCAGACTAAAAAAAGCAGTTGCGTTTGGCCATAAGTAAGAAAACTAACAACCAGACATGGGAAAAGTATATAATAACGTATAATAAACACGCGACGGGACATCTAAGGTGGGATGTTCGTATTCATCGACAGTAGGATTACATCATCTGAAAATGACTGCGCCCATTAATAGGGAGAATGTAGGAGTCCATGCAGCTGTATGAAATAAGCACACAAATTTCGCTACTAACAACCCAATAATGTCGTGACGTGCCTTTGTGTGGAAATCCCAAGAGAGGTGGCAATGAAAAAATAGAGCTGCTATTTCGCCAGACCTCGGTGCAGGGCTATGGGGCACACGGAAGTAGCCAAACAGCACTGCGTTAACACTATAATTATAATAAACAATTTATCGATCGGCTACACATTAAAGGTGGTAATGATAAATTCTTACGATGATTTGAAAATAATAATAATGGCCGTTTATTTCTTTCTTCCATATCTGGTCTGCCTGCTATACATTGATACCAAGGGCCAAAAGGCGCACTTAATTAGGTAGGATAATGGTTATAATTAAACACTTCAGCAGTTATCTTACAGATTAACAGTAATCCTCCATACATACATACAGCAGCAAGGTCACCATTATTTTATAACCAACAGCATCTGACCATCCATATACCAGTTCTTGGCTCCTGTAACTATAGCCACATAATATCTTTCCGTTTTAATATTGGTAGTTAAATTTACTTACCTTTTGTATTCTTTTCAAAGCCATGTCGACAGACGTAGCCAAATGTCCGTACTTTATACACTGTATAGATATAATCTTTGATAAAAGCAAGACGATGATTTCTATTTCTCTTCACTGATCGCCAGGGTGTGTTTTACAATTTTGGTTTCCTTTGTTTCCGCTTTCTGTTCAGAGGAGCGTAAAAACTAGTGCATTCTGGGGCTTGAAGTTTTACATTTTAGTTACGCTTCTTAACTCTTTAGGGAATGCCGCAATTGTTCATCTTTGTTAATAAATATTTCCTGAATAAAATATTACAAAATAGCACAGAATAATAATTATAATAATTATGTTAAACTAATACTTATGTCTAGCTTCTGAGGAAAGATTAAGACGTTTATATAACGTAATCATTCACTATATTGGCCTACGTTTAAGGTGTAATGATAATAATGATAATAATAATGATAATAATAATAACAATAAGAAGAAGAACAGATTGCAAAATATTTATGTAACAATATTCATAATTTTTACATAAAATTCACAGCCAAACAGCTAAACAGGATTGAAGCCTTTCAAATTCATTTTAAGTTAAGTTCTTGTCATCACTGGTAACTGTGTAAATTATGTACAAAGTAATTATTCTTTACAATGTTTTCATCGTGGCCCAGCTTTTTAATGTTTAAAAGTAAAGCCTTAGACATTTCTCAGGCTTTTCTTTCTGTGGCGCTGCGTTACTGTAGCCAGACCTTGAAGTTGTATAATGTGAATGTGGTCTTGTGTTTTTTTCCTTCCATCCATACATCCATACATCCATACATCCATCCATTATCCTGAGCTGAGTCGCGGGGTCGTCTTATGCCTTGTCCATTGATTCATTTTGCAAGCAGGCTACCCACTAATTCTGACTTATGCCTTTAAGAATCGCAAACACTGCGCGTTCGCCCTGACGTCAGCGTGCGCCGCATTCGGGTCACGTGACACCCGGCGTATGCGGATGTTTCTTTCTGCGAGCCGCTGACCTTACTCACTGTCAGGATAAAAGGGTGATCAACTAAGTTGAACATTACCGGGGAAAATGTGCTCACATTCTATGTCGAAAGGTAGGGCTGGTCTGACCGCATAGTAATCTAGTAACTTTTACAATTTGGTTTGCTATTGCACTTCCTATATAGTATAGTTTACAGCGGGTTTGTGATTGAATCAGGTTTTTCAAGTAATGGTTTCCTATCATCATGGTTCTGGCCGTGCTGGACCCAGATGTTCAGGTGCTGTTTGATTGCTTTGATCGATCTGTAATGTAATATCACCATATAACAATGTAAGTATACTTGTGTGCATGTGTTTATATAGAAATACTGAAAAAAAGTAAACACTTTTTTTTTCATTTTTATGTTGCTTTTATTTTTTTCTCTTGCAACGAATATTTGCGGATTATTATTTATCCGGTTATTTCTTCCTGGTTTCTCGCTACTGAACGATTATGCACGGATTACTTGAATATTGATAATGAAATTAACATGATCACCTGATGTGAGTTGCCAGCTAAATAATCCACATCAGATTATGAGAACATATTTTATCTTGCTAGCCTAGGCCACCTGTGACACGTCTCAAACCTGTTCTTTGAAACTATAAACGTAATTATGGGGTTATGAAATACTGGTTTAGATTTCACGCCTAGGTGCGCGAAGTGGTATTGCTGCCATGGTCTTCGTAAACAAAAAATGGAAAAGCTTTACCTGTTGTGGCCTGATTATTTATACTTTAATCCCCTTAGGGAAATTTGGGCTTGCTCAGCTCATCCCCATTACATTCTGGTTTTATGCCATTTCGAAACCACCTGTGATATATATATAAATCAGTAATTTAATATTTAAACCATAGCTTTTAAGGGACTCTGCTCTGTAATACTAGATATGAACACACACAATCATTTAGATTATCAAAATATTAAGCTCTTACAGCTTTGTTTATATTAAATGAGCTGGTATTTGGGGAGCAACACATAGTGGTATTATCAGGTTGTGTGTCTGTAAACAAGGTGTTCATGTATAACCTTAGAATAACAAAGTAAGACAACATCCTGCATTTTCCACCACTTCCACCTTATTCCTGTTGGCAACTACCTATCAATTACAATTTTACAAATAACATTTGCTACATCCCTGGGTATTAATTTCTGCCTGAAATGGCTGAGGAGGATCTAAAGTTAACAACAATCTAGAGGTCTTGTGTCTATGTTTATATTTCTTGTCAACACTAATTAACCATTCCCATTAAGAATGATGTTCTTAATGAGCCTCCCATGTGTTCTCTGTAGCTGAATGGATCGCAGCAATCTCCTTGGCAGCTGGAACTACAGCTGTGGGTATCCTGGTCTACAAGACCTTCTTCTCAAAAGACAAGTGCTGCAAGTCCAAGGTGAACTTGGATCTGCAGAAGGACAACCCCAAAGTGGTGCACGCCTTCGACATAGAGGATCTCGGGGATAAGGCTGTGTACTGTCGATGCTGGAGGTCAAAGAAGGTAATGATGATGCAGGGCTATCACCTTCCATCTGTGTTTACCTTTACTCCTTCATATATGACTTTTCCACTTGAATAATATGAGTAGTGAAACTTGAAACTTGAAATTAATGTGCTGAAGGCAGATTCTTGGCTTACAATTTGCCCAGCAAGATCTTTATGTGGAATACATGAAGATTTTTTTTAAATAATATGATTTATCTTATCAATTTAAGTTATTTAAAATGATCTAGTCTCCGGTAGCTGAGGTTCATTAATTTTGACTTTGGTTTTAATGCTGTATCTTTCTTACTTTCTCTCTCTCTCTCTCTCTCTCTCTCTCTCTCTCTCTCTCGTAGTTTCCATTGTGTGACGGTTCCCATACGAAACACAATGAAGAAACTGGGGATAACGTCGGCCCTCTCATAATCAAGAGGAAAGAGGCTTGAAGATCTCCCTGTATCAGAAGGATGCTGCTACAGATGTTCAGTTTTGTCGCTTGCCCAAAGTGTGTGGTTTTTGCTTTTGTTTTTTTTTTCTTTTTTTTTAATACACTATGACTGTCAAGCTGTTCTATGGATTGTGTCATTAATATCCTGCTAATGTGTAAACATGATATCAGTACATCACATGAGGTGTGTCAATTGTTTTGTTGGGTAGATTTTGTTTTGTTCATACGTGGGAAATCTGTATATGTTAGCTACAGTACCTTTTGCTCAAAACAAAAACACATAAACACTAAGGCGAAATGTTGAATAAATGCCTTCTTCACCGAGAATATCACTGACACAGTCGCTTAACCTAATAACCATATCATTCTGTGCCATTCTGAGTTTACACTGGCCTTCATTTTATTGATCAGCCGACTAGCTGAACTGATCTTGTCGCTAATATAAAATTTCAGATTAGGAAAAAATGTAATAAACCAGGAATTGTAAAACTCATCCCCTTTTGATGTATTAAAAAGCCAGTTTTCGAATTAACTTTCTTCATTCTTATTCTCATTTATTCTGACAAAACCTGACCTTACCCTGGTTGTCCATGACTGAGACTGATATTCTCTACACCGAATGATTGAAATTCATTTGAATAACTTAAACATGAATGTTTGCCTGTTTTTTTTTTTTTCCTTGCTTAACTTAAACCCGAAAGTGCCAACTGACAGAAATCCTCAAGTTCAACATATGGGCCTATTAGCTGATAGTAAAGGTAACTGTTCTTGTATTGGAATACCTATAATTTACTGTTACTAGGTTAACTTTATAGATACATTTTCAGTTTAGTTAAATGTAATTGTGAAACTTACAGTTGGGTGGTAAAGTTTTTTATTTTTTATTTTTTAAGAGAGACTTGCTGAATCTGTGAAGTGTTGATGTTGGTTGGTACATAGAGGGTTAACACCGTGAGGGCTGTGAGTTTAAATCCCACCTCTGCTCAGTGTGTGTGGCATTTGCTTAGTCTTCCTGTGTTATGTGGGTTTACTTCTGTAGCCCAAAAAATATACATTTAGGCTAACTGGTGTGTCCAGGGGCCTGTTTCACAAAGAAGGATTTCTTGATTAGCCGGATAACTTGTTGGGTTTAAGGCTAAATGCAAGTCAACAAACATAAGGCTCATTTAGCCATAGATGATACGGAGTGTCTGTCTATATGTCCAATGACAGACTAGCATTCTGTCCAGGGTGTACCCCAGTCTTGTGCCCAGAGCTAGGGTCTGCAATTCTAAAAACAGCAATTATCGACAGAGATGCTCTGTAACACTAACTAGGATAAGCAGTTGGATGATTCGTGGATGTTACATGCAGGGAATTCAATTATAGAGAAAATATTTTTGTATAATTATCCATGCTACCAGGTTAAGTTTTAATTGCATTCTCATTTATTGTTATATGTTTTCTTTGGATGTTGTTGTTGTCTGAAGACAATGTGTAAATCGCTGTTTTGGTATGGTTAAAAGTGGTGAGTTAAATATATATAATATGTATTTATTGTTTAAAGTAAGACTGAGTTTTGAAATATAGATGGCCTTAGTGAAAACTTACCCTCGTTAATAAATTCTTAATCCTCTTAACACCTGCATTTGATTCTTGTGAAAACTTTTGTGCAAACGTGCATCTTAGTTTCTCAGTCTTTTATTCAGCTTAATTTATGATGTATTATTTTTCATTTAGTATGTTCTCAAGGTCACCAAATGTCTTTTTTGTGCTTCACGGAGCAGAAGCAAAGTGTGAATCATGGATATAAAACAATTATTGTCGACAGAGGAGCTCTGAGTGAATGTTTTATATTTTACATTAACTTTATGTGTAGTAAATGATAAAATCCGAACATTCACCAATGCATCTCCGTTCAGCAGTTGCTTTTCCAGTTCAGGTTCTGCTGCCACAAATTTTATCCTGAAAAACAAAGTTCGGATGCAATCTGATTATGTTCTGATTCTGATTCTGATTAGTTTTCTCGCTGACGCACCCGAACTCCAATGATTTTTGGACTGCCTATATTACATTTCCCAGCAGAGGGCAGTATACCTTCTTAATGTTATTTATATTTAATCTGCACATCGTAGGGTTTACAGCTGTTGGGTTCACAAGATGCCTTCTTCTGTCATTCAGTATGTTTGCTTTAATGTTGATCTTTGATAAGTAAGGCGGAGAAAAACTGGCAATAGGAGAACACGTTACAAATCCAATAACAAGACTTACTTACAATTAATATCTCCTCATAACAATGAAATATACAGCTTACATAAAAAATTGCCGTCTGATTTTACAGTACATATTTCTAACTTTAAGGCAGTACTTCATTTCTTCTTATAATTAATCTGTAACAGGAATTCTTTACTGGATTTTGAAATGATACTTAAAAGTCAAGTAAATTGTGCAGTAAACACTTAGACATGTGCAAAGCAGATTACAAATATAGATTAGATGAAATTTTCAAAAGCTGTTCTTCGGTCATATGTCCAGGTACTTGAGGAGGTTACAAGTTTCCATTCCTATTTTAAACAACCTTTCTCAGACCATCCAGAAATTTAACTGTTTGTAAACAGATAATTTTATATTTAGATAAGGCCACTGACATGATAACGTGATAAGATTTTTCCGAGGCGAGGTCAAAACAGAATTTTTAATTACTTCTATGCATTTTCTACTTTTGTGCACCATTTTGCTTTCGCTGCTTTTACACGATGAGCCTAACACCGTTAGACGTATGACAAATATACACGAATTGATTAACACGGAACTGATATTTTAATAATTTAACATTTATTGGGATTAATGTACGGAAACTGTTTTATTAAAAATGTAGTTTCGTACCAAACTGTTTAGGATAACACGTACATACAGTATGTAATTTGATACAACTATAAATCCTGTTAAATTATTTGTAAAGTGTTATTTTACGTTAAAATTGGATACGTTGTCAAGTTTGTTGTAAGTTTGTGTAACGGCATGTCAGATTACGGCTAAGTAATTGTCAAGCCGCAATTAAGTTTCTGAAACAGGATGCGTACAGGAAAAACTATGGATGCAATTACAAGAAGATATTATCTTCAAATAACTGCAATTTTGATGTCGTCTCTGTGTAATTTCAAGCCGACGGGGAAAATCATCTCACGATTTCCCACAGTACAACGAATCCATCCCCAGAAACGATACCCTACATTTAATCACGTTTCATTTTGTTACGACGTCGAAATATTCCAGAGTGATATTTGCAGACTGCCATTATGCATGCAGGATGAGTGTCAACATGTGTTCCCCACGTGCTAGGGCGTAGATTTGTTATCAACATTGATAGGGACTGAACCCCACCCCCCCGCCCCCTAAGCACACACGGCACTCCCTCAACATTAGTAGGGACATGTCTCTTCCCTCCACACCCAAGTCTACGTGGATTAGGTTAATAGACTATGATCATCTGTTATTTCAGTAGCCTACTTGTCAAGGCATAGAGACAAACGAGCGGTGGGAATTCGTGGGTTTGCTGTTACGACAGTGAGGGCATTGCCGCAAATGTGCCAGCAGGGTGATAGGAAGACGGCAGTCGGTCTCGACACCGAAGCTGGATTAAACATCACCATACTGGCCGAGGCACCGGAACGCGACTCTCTTCTGCCTGTTAACGCGAACACGCTTAAAGTTTCCCCGCACGGCTTTACTTTCGTGTCGATTTTACACCGGAGTGACATGGACAGCCCCATGCGTCAGGGGTGACGTCACAGGGGTTTGCCTGCTGGGATGTGTAGATACTAGAAACAAATAACAGCCCTTCGTTTCCGTATTTCTCTGTTATATATCGCTGCAGCAGTTCGCGAGCATCACAGATTTGGAGAATGCCTCCAGCGCTTTAATAAAATCAAGATTTCTGCTATTCGGCGCTGTTATCATCTCAACTACGGGGGAGTTTTGACGTCTCTGATTGAGGAAGTGGGATGTGGCCAGGCTTGTATTTTGTGTTGCAGATTAAGATGTGAAAATGTTAGTAGGAGAGGTTTGTGAATCGCGTTACACTGTAATCTTAAGTAGGCGAACACGACTGGCGCTTGACGATTCCTCGTTGGACTAAGGAAATGACTCCTTTCTGCCTGCTTTGATATGCTGCCGGGGGTGGTCACATGGGGCGCGTGAAGCGAAGATGTGAATTTTGATGTAGATGTTTTAATTGTATTTTTAAAGTGGAGCCATTAGAATTCAATGGTTAAAATGTCAACTCAGCACCAGATAATGGACTCATCTCTATCACTGGGAAGATTGGAAATAAAAAGCGGCGCGGGGAGTCAGGAGCATGGCCTTTCCGGACCGATAAATGAGAAGGACGTGCAGGTTGGACTGAAGACACACCTCAATGGGTGCGTGCCGCTCTCCCATCAGGTGGCCGGCCATAAGTACGGCCGTGACAAAGCAGGTCAGTACTGTTTATTTCATTTGATTTTTATTGCTCAATAGACAAACTGGTTCTTTTTTAAAAAAGAAAATCATTTGCCATTTCCGGATTTTCCTTTACTAGAATTTTTTAAAAAATATTTAAGGAAAATGCGAATAAAAATTACCAACACAGATAATCAAATCGTATTACATAACATTGCATGACACTTAGTAGATGGCTTATGGTGTCATAAACTGGTGATAGTTGCATGCGTATGAACAATGATTTTGATTAGGACAGACATGCATGTCTCGGGTGACATGTTTATCGTGAAGCTTAAAATGAAGTTTTACTTTTTACAGTTGTCGTACACATGCAAACCTTAATATTAGGGCCTGTAGGCTGACGTTCGTGGCTCCGATAAAGGGGCGAAGTGAATATTACGCAGCCAAAGAAACCGAAACATACAGTCAGTATAAAGCTTTCAGCGTTGTGTTTTAAATGATAAAAAGCTGTCACTGGAAGTCCAGATTGGTTATGCTGTGTTCTTCTTTTATTCGCCGTGTAAAACATGTTTTTTTTTTTTAAATATACTCGATATAATTAATTCCAGTTTTAAGGCAATAATCCAAAAATAGCAGCCAAATATAAGCTGAAGAAGCACAACTGATATCCTCTGAATATTAATTGCAGGCAGGATGAAATAAGCGGTTAAGTGCAGAGTTCATGTACAGTACTTTTGGTTCGGGCTTAACAGTTGTGCAATCCTGTTAACTGTATGCCTGTCAGCTTGCCTTTTATAAAAATAGCTGTATATAAATGGGCGTCTCTGTATAGGACCTAATCCGTTTGCAGATATGAAGCTGGGATAGTAGACGAAGTCAATTTTCAGATTTTATTTTGAGCTTAATGTCTGTAGTTTGGTGTTGAAACCCTGAGAGAATGTGTTCAGTGGTTTAACGAGTTGAAGGTTTGCTGTTTTTTTACAGATAGTTTCTCCATACATATTGGTTCACTCAACAAATAATTGGTAATGATATCTAATTGATTTAAGTTCTTTTGCTGCCAATAATGGAAGTGCTAATGCTTAGGCTGAAAAATGTTCTTTCAAATTATCGGTTAATGTGTCTTGATGTGTGAACACACAAAAAAAAAATTGCTTAAGCCTAAGATTAGGTCATGTGAGGCCAATTCTGTTGCACAATAACTTTGAAGGTACAGTGAAAATGGCCATTTTCCATTGTAAGTAATCTTGTGGAATCCCTGACTTCACACATGAAAAAAGGTATGGTTTCAAGCATTTTCTCTTAGGGTATTTGGTTTGGCACCCAGTTTTATAGATTATTGCACTGAGGAATCTTCACAGGTGAGCAGGGGGGTGGTGATGCAGAGCCGTGAAGGTCTGTCAGTGGTGTCTGACGTAGGTGATGGTTTTCAGCTGATTTTTTACCTTGTCAAGTCAGCATCCATCCATCCAGCCAACCATCCTCTGCTTGTCCCAGTCAGGGTCATGAGGAGGTGGCTGGGCACCTATCTCAGGCAGCATAGAGCCCAGGGCTTGGTTACGCACTTGATGGCCTGCAAGAGGAAGCCCAGACAGCTACCCTCACGCACACACACAGCATAAGCGGGATTCATAGCCCTCAACCATGGAGGTTCCCACTCAGCTGCCACGCCAAGCTTAAGGCAGCTGTAGATCAAAGCCAGCTATGTGATAATTAGGATAAGGTGATGTTGAGTCAGCCTTTACCATTATCCATCCATCCATCCATCCATCTTCCATAACTGCCACAATCTTGTATGAATAAGCAGTTTTTCCTTTTAACTTTGGGGGGAAAAAATGAATGGAGTTTTAAATCATTATTTACTCATGTGAAATTAGCATGACCGATATTTTTATTTCTTGACTTACTGCAATCTCCCTTTTCCCCGTGTCTCTTAAAGGAATGCTGCAGCACCCGGATGGTACTGTTCTGAAGCAGCTCCAGCCCCCTCCTCGAGGCCAGAGGGAGATGCAGTTCTACAGGAAGGTAAGAACAGAGAATTCTCATTACTTATTTGTTCATCGCCCAGAAAGAGAGAAGTACAATCAGCAGGAAGTATTTTGGAGATGTCCCAAGAGGGTTGATGGTCTAAAGAAGAATCTGACACAAAGTAAAGTAAATACTTGGGAATAATTGGGCAGCTTGGTTAAGGAAATGGTTGTGTACATAAAGATTCCCAGAATTCCATTTATTGTAGTTTTATGGATAAAGATACGTAATCTTGTTTGCTTCTATAATAAATTTACAGTAATTTTAATTTTTCTGTAATATAGTTGTATAGGGCATTTTAAGCTATGTATGAGTTATATTACTGTAGTCAAAAGTATACATTTAAATCAATTTACATAAGTTTAAATGTGTTAAAACTTGCACTGAGGTCAGGCTACTTGAGAGTTAAATGTGTGTTTATAAATAGATACACAGCCAAGTGATAATGCCTTCTTGGAGTCCAAACTTTAAGTTCTGCTGTTGTCATTTTAATAAAAATATGGGAATGATTTGTTTGCAGACGTGTGTCACAATATAGAGATGGTCCCCGAAGTGAGAGTGGTTTTTATATCTTGGGGTTTTCACTGGTCTTATTTATCAAATCTCCTCGGGTCGACTTTGATTTTGCCAGCTACTGCCTCAGAAGGCCGTAAACTTGGACGGACCAATTGCTATTGTTATGCTGTCTTATAATGGCTGTCTAATTGCCCTTATCTGTGACACATAGTCAGAAAATTTTAAACACTTTAATTCCATGGGATATACCTCAATTTCAAATATTTGGTAATTAACATGACATAATGCATACATATTCAAAGCTTTTTTTGTTATGGAGTAAATCAAACAAACCAAAAGCCACTGAGATCTAGCTATGGACACGATTAACTTCAAGGAACATTAGTGGATCGGCTAGAATGTTTCGTTGTCTTTAATAGGTATATGCTGAGGACTCTGACGACCTGCTCTTGTTGGACCTGCAACATTATCTTCCAAAATACTATGGCACCTGGTCTTCACCTGAAGCGCCAACGGGTAAAAACATGTTTACGTTGTATTCGCCTAACCTTTTAGCTTTCCCACTTTTTCCACGATATCCCTAAATAGACAAGAATTCACACCATAATTCATTTGTGACCGTTTTTGGCCACAGTCACCTTCACATATTTATACGCTCGGAGGAAATATAACTGTTATAAACTGCTCTGAATCTCGAACACCACCTTACGAAAAGTCACCTTTTGCTATTTTTAAATTTTCTTTTCACTTAAGTTCCTGACTTAAACAGCTCTGTATGCATGAATACATCATTGTAAGGTGTGATTTTTGTAGTCAGGCTGAAGCTGGCTCTAATTTAAAAACACTGAAATGACTTGAATATGCTCTTTGGAAATGTGGAAAGGGTATGATCTGATGGCAGAGCTGCAGGCTCCATGTTTCAGAGTCTTGAATGCGTGCTGCCTGTTAGCTCTCGCATCTGTCTTCTTGATATGTTTTGAGTCCCGTGAATGAAATTTTCCATTCTAAGTAATGGAGCACTCTCACGGAACAGGGGGCTTATGGAGGGGTTGGGGCTACTCTGTCTGTCCTTTGTTCTTACTTGGTCCATTCTCAGTACTCCATCAGTACCCCAGTGATGTGATTCTTGGCCGTTTCCCTATTTGATCCCTATTCTTTCCCCACACTGCAGTTCTGTACCTAAAACTGGAGGATGTCACATGCAAATTCAACAAGCCATGCATCATGGACGTGAAGATCGGTCAGAGGAGCTATGACCCATTTGCCTCCAAGGAGAAGAAGGAGCAGCAGATCCAGAAGTATCCTCTGATGGAGGAGATTGGCTTCTTGGTTCAGGGCATGAGGGTAAGTGTGTCTGTATACTTCAAAATGTCATTTGGCCCATACCCACCTGATATAAACCACTGGTGCTGAAGCTGTACCTGTGTACGAAGTGTAACAATTAGCCCTTGTTCTGTGTTTTCCTTACTTGATGGAGAGCGGTCAGTAATTGACCCTCTTGTAAATACTGTACTCTAACAGAGATGGCCTAAACGCTGGATCTCTTGGATAACTTGCTCGTTTACTGGTTTTCTCGAATTGTTGTGAGGTTTACTTTAATACCTTTTTTGAAAAAAAATCATAAAAATGCACATACTTTGAGAGCTGGCTGAAGAGAAGACTGGCATATCACTAAAATCTAGGGTTGTGGCTATGAAGTATTTTCATATTCGACTAATCAGCTTAATTTTTTTCTCAAATTTGGATATTTGGGTTTTGCACAAAATGTAGCGTTATCTTTTCTGCTTGCTTACTTATGTGTTACGTGCGTGTTACTTGCACGTGTAGTTGTACTGGTGCCACGGTCAGAATATGAACTGTGAATAGATTTTATCTCTTTGAGTTTGGATTATCCTTCTCATTTCTTCTTATTCAGATTTTTCAAGTATCTTGAATATTTATTTCAGTGCAACTAAAATTAATTGTCCTCTGTTGATGAGAATTTTTAGAACGATAAGGGTGGTAGACCTGAACACAGACAGAACATGCTTTACAACAGCGATTCTCAACCGGTGGGTCGCGACCAAGATTTGGGTCATGCCAAGTTCTGGAAGGGTCACGAGGCAGAGTTGGAAATGTAAGCATTTTAAAACCAGCAAGCTCCTTTGCTGTTCCATGATCAGATTTCCCAGCCCGAATCCTAGAATTAACCTATATACACTGGTCTTGGCTCTGTAAATGCTTCGCGCAAACTAGTGGACACTCAACCAATCCAAGAAGCCATCACAGATACTTAATTTCAAATTCCCTGGCACAACCAATCAGGTTTGTGCGATAGGCATTAATTGGCGTAAACTGCAGAGTGCACTGCGTGCTTATTCATAGCGTTAATTTAGACCTATACTTGATATATGGCTGCGACTGAGGTAGCACGGAAAAAATTGCGTTGCGGTGAAAAAAGATTAAGAACATCTTCTTTAAATAATGCTGACTTAAACTTCCGAAAATTACTTTGGGTTGATGACACATCTCCGGTGTATAAGGTGTAAAATGTCCTTCAGAGGAATGAGTCACACTGCTAAGAGATCTCAATCACCTCTGGTACTTGGGCATGTCCTGTCTAAACCACCATTGCAATTGTCACTCAACATCTCTACATGGAAGCGTAATGACTGTCTACCTCAGTCTTCAGAGTCACTAAATCATGAATAGGAAGCCTGTTGAGGGAATGAGGTTTGCTCACTGGCAACCAGTATGGTATCAACTCTATTATCAACAAGCCTGTCATACCCTGGAGCAGAGCACTTACCCAGGCCAAATGGGAATCGGTTGGTTTGCTGACACTAATCAGAGACGCTCTGCTTTTTCTGTAGTCGATATTTCTGTAAAGGAGACCGACCATCTGCTGTTCTCCTGTATTATGGTCATACATTAACGATGTTTTTTGTTTACTTGCAGACTTTTCCTACTCCGTGTGTTCATATTTTAATTCACGAAAAAGGCAAAGAAAATGCTAGCTCTTTTTTTCTGTGTATTCCCTGTAATAATATCGTTTATTAATTCATAGACTACATGTATGCAATACCGGCATCAGTTGTATACTTCCAGAAACGGACCCCAAAGAACAAAAAAGCATTTTAAATGTATACGCTCATTTCAGAGTGTAAAATAAGGCGCCTAGTATTAAATTGATTATATTAGTGGTTTTAAACATTTCAAGTGTTCTTTGTGTTAAGCACATTTGAGAAGGCGTGTGTTCGGCCTCTGAGCAACTTCTCTTAAACTGTGTTAGTCTTTTAAGTGGGTTTCTTTCTTCTGTGAATCCTTTCAACTTTAGAATGTTCTGTCGTTCCTGCCAGCTCGCATTTCTTTCATTTTCCAATATCTCCTGCTCTGATAGACTCATAAAAGTATAGTGCTGAGACAACAGAAACGCAATTCACAAAACAAAAAACAAGCCTGCAAAGTGCTATCAAGTACGTATTGTGGTGTTTCCCTCGCCCCCCTCGCGGTACAGCGTCCCGTAACGTACTGGCTGTATATCACTGAGTGGCAGGACTCTCTGAAGAACACGCTATCGATTTTTCTCAGTGCTGTGTAATTCACGGTGGTGGGATTTGTGGCGGATTTATTTTTCTTATTTGCAGAATAAACCGAATGTGACATTGTCTTGTCCGCGGAATCTGTGGAATAAATAGAAAGCCGCTTTTATCCCCGTAATGCACTGTCTGATTTGTGGTCGAGTTTTGCTCACATGTTCATTTCTTTCTCTTTTCCTTTTCTCCTTGTTTGTCCTTCGCTGCTGGCAACTGATATCCCGTCTTTTTTAATACTATGTAAAATCTTTTGGTGGGTAAAGGGATTTTAAATATAAATTTTTAATTGGACTGACAATGTTTAGGCTAAATCGCCTGTCACAGTTTTATGCTAAATTGGATACATTTCTGTGATGGTGACAATGTGCTTGGTATGCCCAAAGCCTCTATGTATTTTTAATATCTATAATGTCAGACACCTGTAAATGTAACCATTCTGTTCCATATCTTTATAAGTCATTGACGTATGGTAATGACAGAAGCACTAAAAGAACCATCAGTCTATCCTCCAACTGCGTATCCTAGCAGGGGCATGGATGAGCTTATTACCGGCTGTTCAGCAGCAACCCTGGATGGGATGCCAGTCCATCATAGCCAACTGCAGTGCCAAATGTTTTAATTCACTCGTGCATTGTATAGGGTTAGCTGTAGGATTTCTGTGACAGTCTGGCATCCTTGAGTTCCCACCATTTGTAGACAAACGAAGGCTCCTCGCATTAGTCAGATGGGAAATGGCTGAGCTGAGCTGTAGGCTGCTTCTCTGTGTCCTTGCATATTCATCCAGTGCTCTCGCGGGTCCTTTTGTAGTGTGACTAATGCTTGCTGACCGCTATTAACAAGGGAAAGAAATTAGGCAGATTTGCACTGTCAGTAAACAGGGAATTCTCGTTCTTTTGCAGACATAAAGGTTTCCCAGGGACTTTAGCAGTTTATTATTATTTTTTTGTTCATTTTTTTTGCGGGGGTGGGGGAAATGGCTACAAAGGGGATGCCTGACATCTGTTGTGAGATGCTGAGTTACACCTGGTGGGGGTCACAGTGTGACGTTGGTGTTGAGATGCATGCTGGGAGTGTGGTATCTGGGGGGGCGAGGCCATTTGGCAGGCAGAATGGGAAAGTCTGCCCCCACCTCTGCACTTTAGACTTGCTGTGTGTGGCCACAGAGTGAAGTGATTCATTACTGGTAAATGCAGTGCTGATTCTGGTGATAGCGGCTGGAATGCGGCCCGATTCGCGGGCCGGGCCGCTTCCCTCTTTGTTCCAGTGGGCTTTTCTCATGCTAAGCAGCTTGATTTCAGTCCGCGGTGATATTCAGCCACAATAAACACCATAGACATTGTTTTGTAACAACGACGGCTTTCTTGAAGTTTCTGTGTTAATATTACGGTCCCTTATTTACATTTCGACCTAGCAGGAATGTTGTGGAGTAGGGGGATCATACGTTTTTGGTGCCTGCGGACGGCAGACGTTGCGTAAGAAGTTCATGGACCAGTAAAACCAGCCGGATGGTGCTGGTGGTGACGCTTGTCAGTCGGGGGTGAGGGAGGGGTAAGGGGGGGCGGGGGGTGAGGGAGGGGGCACTGCTGCCAGTAAATCTGGTCAAACGGGGCATTTTTCCCCCCAAACTGCAAATAGATTTTATATAGTTAATTATTGGAAATTAAGCAGCCCCTCCCCCAAACCCCCAGTGTCTCACAACTCTGCGGAATATTAGCTCCAAGTTGGTAGTGGTCAATGGATGGGGGAAAAAAAAACAATTCACTTAAAGCAGTTTCTTCAGAAGTCAGAAGTTACATTACTTTGCTTAGTAACGGGACGACGACTACTTTACTTAGTCGTCGTCCCGTTACCGTCCATGTGAACCTTCCTGCTTAAAGCTCCCTTCACCTTTCCTGACAGCTGAAGGATTGTTCTTCGTCCTCTGCTGAGGACAGTCATTTCATCACTTTTCAAACTGACTTTGAATGGTTGTAAGCGCAGAGCTCTAAATTAATGCAGGGTCTACCTGTCCCCCCCCCCCCCCAGATATACCAGGTAACCTCTGATCGATATGACACTCACGACCAATATTATGGACGACGTCTCGGGAAGGACACCATCAAAGACGGTAAGATTCTCCGCAAGGCATAATAATGTCGTGGGCCGTAGCGATTGATGCCGATTGCCTGCGAAAGGCCTACTGTTTAGTATATGGTGTCAGAGACGGTCCTGATAGCAGGAACTTGTGTTATTATTTTAAGACTATGTGATGTCAGTGGTTTGGAGAATACGAGGCTGATAAGCAGTCAGAGGTTGGTAGAGCTGTCAAAAGCCTTTTGGGGTAATTGTAGTGCTGAGGTTAAGAGGCGGATAAAGGCATTTATTCAGGTATTTATATTAAAAATGAGTTGTAGCTAGAGGTATGTAAATGGCTGACCTTTGTCACCCGCGTCTTGCTCTTCTTATCTGAGCTGTCGTTGCATTTCCCTTTCTCTGCTGTAGGGGTCGCCAAATTCTTTCGCAATGGAAAAATCCTGAGGAAGGATGCCGTCGCGAGCAGCATCCAGAAGGTGCAGAAGATCCTGCAGTGGTTTGAAGGCCAGAGTCAGTTACACTTTTATGCAAGTTCCCTGCTGTTTGTATATGAGGGTGCGCCCCAGCTCGACGGCGGTGGCCTGGTAGGGAACGCAACACTCCCGGCTGTGGCTGCCCTGAAGGAAGGTATCCCAGAATGCAACAACAACATCGGCGAGGTGGGCTCCCGGGAAAACGGGCATGTGGCGGCGGCCCTGGACCAGGGTCTCTCCAACATGTATGTGCTGCACCAGAGGGGCTGCGGCCGGGACCACCGCGTCGACGTCTGCCTCCCGTGGACGTGCGCCGGCCAAGCCCCACCCGAGCAGCCCAACGGCAACAGCACGCGGCCGGACGCCGACGGCGGCCGACTGGAGTGCGACTCGGCGAAGTCGTGCGGCGAGGTGGAGGTCCGCATGATCGACTTCGCGCACGTCTTCCCCAGCACCACCCGTGACGATGGCTACATCTTTGGGCTGAAGAACCTGCTGTCTACGTTGCAACAGATTCTAAACGAATAAACAACGCTAAACGTGCCCCTCCCCCGAGCGATGCAATCTGCACTAACTTCTTTGTGCATTACGCTGGCTTGTTCTAAACTGCTAGTAAAAGTCTAAAGTATCCTACTCAGGTAAATGAATCAATACTCACGTTAGTCATCGCAAAAGAGCAGCGTATTGCAGTTATCAACAGTGCCTGTGTGCACGGTATCTGGAATTTTTTTTTCTGTATTCTATACTGCACAGCGATTCTCATAGAAATATTTAATAGTATACAAGTGATTCCAGATGACTTGCTAAAACTACTGATTTTATCATTTTTTTTAATGTATAGATAATTTGTGTACTGAGATTTTCACTAAATGGAGGGTATTTTATTTTAGATGTTTTTATTTTTTACATAAGGACAGTAACACTATTTGTTTAAGAACTGGCTTATTTTAAAAACATTATTGGTTAATTACCAAACTGTACATGTTTAAACGTCATCTGATGCAAGGTGGCTAATGTTTTGGCGATAACGGACTGTTGGATGTTATTTTTTTTCTTGTTTTTATTTATTTATGATGATGATTTTTTGCCCCTGTAAACTGCTCTGCCAAAGGAGCTGTCATGTGACCAGGACCTATAGGAATATAGCTAAAGAAGGTGTCTGAAGGTTCTGTCACACCATGAGTGAATGTGGTCCAGGTCTCTGCGTGTGACAGCAACACGTTCACCATGCTGAAGGCCAGGGTCCTGCTCCGCTGGCCGCTATTGGCCACATTCACTGATTGTGGGACCTGACTGTTGCCTTTTGTCTGGACAACTTTGTTTCCAAAAAATAATGTGAACTTCACATGAAGACAACGTTTAAAAACTTGTCACTGTAATCATGCCTGTCTATTTACCAGTGTCCTTAAATCCCATTTCTTAATTGTACATGATGTTTCCCCCCCCCCCCCCTTTCAAATTTTTATCACCCCTCATGCCATATTCCTGTATCCTTCATTAAGACATGAACATATGTACTGCAACAAGTTATTTACAATATGATTTGCTCTTAAGGAATTTAAATGAAGTCCAGTTACCCAGAAAATTATATTTCATACATTTGAAAGGATAAAAAACACTACAGGGTTATTTAATGTAACGTTTAAATCGTAAAGATTGTAAATCTTAGATGGTTTTAGTCAATGGCTTCCAGAATGCTATGCACCTTTGAACATCCATCCATCCTCTATAACCGCTTGTCTTATGCAGGGTCATGGAGGTCTGTAGCCTATCCTCCCCCAGAACACACTGTATTCTGACATTTTGGGGGTCCTTCTCACAGCCGTGGAAGGTATGCATACATGACTCTGACTCTTCACTTCTTTATATTTTGATTTGCAATGCGGAGTTCTGAAAGTAACTCCTTTACGAGAAAAATTGTGACTGCAGCACATCGTTCTTTGCAGCCAACGAGACGGCGTAGCCACTATTCCATTACTGTTTAAGAAACCTTTATGCTATGATGAAAGAACATACAGAGGAGATTTGTTTTTTCTAAGTGTTTTTAAATCCTCAGTGACATGCTTCCATGTTATGGTGTCCATTTCAATTGACAGGCATTTTGTCGATCTACCTAATAATTACACTACTAGAAGTGAAACAATTTCCACGAATGGATGGGTTGTCTCTGAAGAGCTGGCGTACTGTATAACTTCTGTTGCAGCTCTTAGACACTGCTGTCGAAGAGGTAACTTATGTGGCTAAGGGGACAATACAGTAACTAAATACTGTAAATATGCAGGGTCATCTACTGCAGCTACATTCAGTCAACTATATGCTGATTTATAGCAATGTCATTGATAACTGAAATATCGCGTTTACATTCCATATATATTTTGCTCGTTAAAGGTGTATCAATGTAGTGAATATTCATGTTCAGGAAGCTAATGTTTATGGCGAAGTGGTGGGTATGCGTTCCTCTGATTTCTGTTGTTGTTGTTGTTTTCTAATGCACTGAAACAAGTTAACCTGAAGTGTGAAATCTCGTCCTCTTGCTGTGAACTAACCAATGATATTTTCCTCTCCTGCGTGGCGGTTTTTTGTGGCAACGTTCGACGGAGTCGGATTTTAGACTTTCGGGTAGCTGAGAATGAAATGTGATGGACCTGGGCACTTTAAATGCATGGGACTCGACTGGATTTTGCCGAAGGAACTGAGCACATTAAGGCCGAACAATGACTCGCATATTGTACCGATAACCCTACGTGAGCTTGAACCTAGGTTATCGTAACTGTATTCATTCCGTTATCAAATTTGGCAACGATTTGTGGCTTCGCCTTGGAATCTCCCATTTCTTGGTGTTCTGGAATAAGCAGCCCAGTAATCTGACATGACCCATTTCCCTGCTTATTGTCTCTCTGTTCCAACTGTGAAGGGTGAATCCCAGATCTGGTTTAATACATGCGTGCAAATGCAGGGGAAGATTCTTGTGTAGTAGCTTTTACTCTCTCGCTCTGTCTTCTGATCACATGAAAGGAACTACTTTTGTAAATCAGATATATAGATATATATATATATATATATATATATAATATTTAGATAAAGATAATACCTGTATATTTGGCAAATTCAAATTACTAATAAAATATACTCCTGATGGAATGTTTGTCTGTTTTATTTATGATGTGTGGTCACTTTGTATTCTTAGGGAAGCATCTGTCCATCTACTTGGCTGGTACAGGATTGAGGTGCTTTGGAGAGAAATAAAACGTTACTAGAAGCTTCATCGAAAGTTTTTTTTTTTTTTTTTTTTCCTTTTCATTTGTTTTTTCTCATCTGCAGGAAATCCTTACAGCGAGACACTGGGGGAATTTCACTATGGCTCTTCAGTGTCTGTAGCTATCAAATTTAATTTGTATCTTCGCACAAATGAAATTTTTTTTTATCTCATCAAATGCAGTGGCATCGCAGTATACAGCTGCACGTGTGTGGGAAATGAAAAAGAGACGAGAAATACAGAAATAGCAAAGGCGGCTCTGACAATGCAATGATTTACCAGAGACCTTCTGAGATCTTCCGGAATAATGATGCTTCTTTAGAAAGTGCTGTTTAGCCGCCATAAAGCAGCTGCCATTAAGAGCTAAGAAGGGAAACTATTTACTTTTACTTTGAAATGTATTTGTTTGCGAATGGAAACAGGAAGTCTCGAGTGAGCATACTTACTGTGTCTTGGGACTGGGCGTTCACCTGCAGCAAATCTTTGTTTTGCTAGACAAAAAATATGTAAATTAAAAAGTTATGATGTATAAAAATGGTTTGCTCCGTTATCTAGATTGAAATGATTTGTTGCTGAACACATCTAAATAAAAATTATACTCAAGATAAAAATTGAAGGGAAACGATATTCTTTTATATATTGTATCCAGAGGCAGACATTTCAGGTCCAGAAAGTAAAAATCCAAACCAGAATTTTGTTTTAACAAACCAGTTCAGTATAAACAGTCAGAGAGTACTCTGTGACTGTGACTCTTTTTGCTCAACTGGTTGGTTGAAACAAAATCCTGGTTTGGATTTTACTTTCTGGACCTGAAATGTCTGCCTCTGATTGTATCCAGTCATCTTTATCATTTTGTGTTTCTTTAAGTGAAAAAAATAGCCACGTTCTAAAATGAAGGCTATATTGAAGTTAATACTGTCGTGAAAAAAGAAAAAAATTTGTCAGATAATACAAACTTCCCTCAATAGCCATAATTAATACAGCCAAAATAAATGCATGGATATGCAAACACATTCATGATTGCTATTACTGGAAACTGAAAGTGGTCCTGTGCCATTTTAAAACAATAAAGAGCCCCAAAACTACCCCGGGCCAAAAAAAAATAAATAAATTTAAACTTTGGCAGATAGACATGTTGAATTGATGATGAAATACAGGACCTGAGCTGAGCAGAGGAGAGCTGAAGGTCAAGATGAAAGATGTGGAATGTTAAAGAAGAAGATGGACGTTCCGTCTTCCCCAAGGTAAGAGCAAAAAATGTCTGGAGAGCAGCAGCCAGTCTGCTGTAGATGACCGGAAAAAATGCAACAAATGCTTTGCTATGCACATCATCCACTGGTTAAGATGAGGACTATCGGTGGTGACGGTTAGGTGTCATGTTCTGAAGGTGAGCAGTAAATATGCATGTGGGAAACCATGAATTTTCACTGAATGTGAAAACGATCTATGAGGTGGTTTGAGGGGGGCTATAGCGGCCCTGCACCCCACACTAAAATAATAAAAACTAAATATGCATTATTCTATTTTCAAAGCGAGACCATAGAATATACATAGTGAATATACATATACTCTGAATGACAGAAGTGATTATAAATTAGTAACATTTACCAAATTAATTTGAAAAACCTCCTTATTCCGTACAATAGCCCTCAACAGTGACATATGTTACAATTAAACCGATTACAAGCTGTCACAACAAAAACCATCAATAAATAATTTTATTAGAGAGCCCCAGAACTAAAGAATGATCAACAGAGATTTATGAGAATCAGACATAAGATATTAAAAAACGGGAAAATTTATGACAGACACAAGCTGCACCAACAGCTGTGTAAACAGCCTCTTTATGCATCCCCCCACACTAGCGCTACAGACAATGGTAGTCAGGCAGCAGATCTTTTATTCTTACTGTTACAAACTTTTAATATTGTATTTCCCAGTAACTATTCCTTTGGTATAAAATTAGACACTTGTTCTAGTACCTGACAATTGATCTAGTTCATTATTGTACATTTTTCTGTAAACAGAAACTCTGAATGTGTGATACTGAGAGATAACTAACGTATTAAGGTTATATCGAATAGTCTGGTGTCATAGTCACCAATGAGGAAAATAACATGATACTTATTTTTCGTATATAATACAGAATAGGTTTCAGAGACAAAATCTTAAAATCATGTATTTCTCTTTAATATGTAAAGAATGAATATCAGTGGAAATCACTTTTCCTCAGTTAGTTGTTTCCAGCTAGGGCTTTGTAGGAAAAAAACTGATATTTCTTGACGGAAAGGGTCAGTGTGGATTACATGGTTGAGTGCGTGAGCTTTCATTTCCAGTCTGGCATGAGCTTTGAATGCCAAGGCAGGGCAGCACAGCACAGACAGTCAGCGCCAATCAGCATTGACGTCAGGGTGCAACAAAGCAATACCTGTTCCAAGGAGCAAACTTCACCTACTCAATTAACCGGTAACTAGCTGTGACGAGAAAGGGGGGAGGGGCGGGTGCTGTTTTTCTTGGAAGGTGAGTCAGGTGACTGTCGTTGTTCATGTAAATTTGTTCATTCCTGCCCCTTATTCCCATTGATCTACACCAGTGTTTCCCAATCGGGGACCCACAGACAATCCAGCAAAAATGTGGACTGTCTGGCAGGGAGCTGGGAGAGTTCAAAAACGTGAACACTGACCTAGGCCCCAAGCTCTCTTCTTGCCTGGTCTGCACATGCCATGGGATATCAGTTCTCCTACCCTACTGAAGCAGCAATTTTTCTTTTCATAACCCTAAGACTTTTGTCATGTAGTCAAATTTCCTGCTCCCATATGCCCCTGAAAAGGGAATTCCAGATGGCTGTGATTCTGTCTCCCAGGCTTCCTCACACATGCCGGTCCACTAACATAGTACTGGGACTGAGCGTAACTTCCCTCAACAATTCAATCTGTAGGTACAGGCATACAGAGTAAAGGGGGGCGTGGGATTTGTGGGCTATGCTAGTGACGGCCAAATGAAGCTTCAGGAGCCATTTTTTGACCCCCCTAGATGGCACTCTTGGATTGCTGTGGGGCATGCATTGAGTCGTTTTTGAATGAAGAGCACCATCTAGTGGTTTTAGAAAATACAGCAAATGGTTCATGAAGCTTCATTTGGCCATCAATAGGCTAATCCCCCCTCCACTCCGAAAAGGACAACCACCGAGGACACCAGAGCATCATTTATTTTATTTACATGTTTTTTTTCAATAAAGGAATTCATCGTAAAATAAATTCTTTCCCAGGGGTGTGGCTATGGATCGTCTGCTTACCCAATGCTTCGCCAACCCCCTGCAGAACCCCTCAAGTGCCCCCCCACCCCGTCAAAGTCTTGATCCGACACCGTTGACACATCACTAATTGCTATTACTGGAATGTGAAAGCAATATGTTTTCACTGGGTTTTCAAAAATTTATTATCAAAAATTTAATAAATAGCCAGATCAAAAGAAAAAATAAACCAAAAAATGAAACTTTTAAACTACTTATAAAGGACTGTGGATGAAAGGGTCACTCCGCTTAAGGGCAAAATGAAAGAGACTGTGGCTAGTTAGACACATTTTATTTCATTCCTGAATGTTTCATTTGCATTCCTCTATCATTCTCTCCAGAGTTCACTCTTTTCACTGTCAATTTTTTAGAATTTTCTCATCGTTTTCATTATTTGTGCAAACAAGACTAAATTTTACTTGTTCTGAGCTCTCTTGCCCATAGCAGTGCACATCTAGGAATTAACATGAATGTTTACAGGGCTATGCTTTAATGCTGTATATAAGTAAAGTGAGGCAAGTGTATTTATATTCTCGAAGGGTGCGGGGCTCAGCGGGTGCCCCCCCACCTCCAGGCTGCCTCTGCTCTGCTTGTGCGGAGCTCGCATGTTCTCTCAGTGTGTCTGAGGTCGAATGAGGCTAATAGTGTTTGCATTCATCTGCGGTCCTGTCCAGGGTGCAGCATTGCCTTGTACCCTATACTGACTGGGATAGGCTCTGGGTTTGCCCACCCCCACCCCAACCCATGACATGTTTTTTGAGATAATATACAGTTCTGCATAAAATGCTTTCCGGTTTTAAACGTACTGAAGGGTTTTGACAAGAAACAAAGGCAGGCAGTACAGAAATGAAAAATATTTCATCACGAGGACAAACAGCTCTTGTGTGGGTGTCAGGATTTAGACATACAAATGAAACGTTTCACCACGCAGGAGTTACCAACATCCCCAACCTGCCATCACTTATAATCGCACCATGCACATGAAGTGCTATTCTTTTGCACTCTCAAATCCCCCTTCTGTTTATGTTTCTGTAGCTTAAGCATTGTCAAAACCAGGGGTGTACAATCTACTGCAAACAACAAAACATAGCTGTAACAAGTATAAAAGCTACTGTCCAACCTTTCCCTTTGAATTCAAAGGCACAGACAATTTGTTTACGGTTCTTAAGACTTATACGTTTCTGTTGTGGTTCTGTTTTCTAAACATTTTAATATTTCGCAACGGTTTTGGTTTGTAGCTCCTCGTATTTTATATGTGTACTTTAACCAGTTTTAATCGAGTCGCAAATTCTTTAGTCGCATTTAGCTACATTTTATCATTAGTATTAAACTAAATTATTAAAACCATTAAAGAAAGCACTTGCATAAGAAACAACCAACAGGGTGACAGGGTGACATTTACAGTGATAAGCCATAATCCCTCGTTACTATTTTTTTTAAAAACTCAGCTTGGAACTTTCAGTTAATCTCATTATAGGTGACATCCATTCCAACCTGCAGATGGAGATCAGCAGACTCCTCAACTGGTTTATCTGGTTTTATTCAACTCATTCTTTTCTCTCTAAAGGCTACAAGCTTCATCAAGCAACATAA